GCAGAGCATCTGGTGGATTTGAACCGTGAGCCACTGGGATTGTAGTTGCAGCTCCTTGCCACTAGGCCACCAGAGTTCCCCTAGTTTCAATTGTTTTTCTATTTTCTATTTCATTTATTTCTGCTCTAGTTTTTATAATTTCAGTTTTTTTAGAGGGTGTCGGGTTTTCTTGCTGTTCTTGTCCATCTATCTTGTAAGGGTTTTTCATTTCTTCTGTCAACCCTTCACCTTTCCAAGTATGGTATTCTTTTCCAAAGAATAGCCCTACCTCACAATATACCCTAAATTTGTGGAACAAAGCTTCATGATCCTTGCCTCAGAAGATGACTCTAATTGTACTTTCCCAAGGAATAAATGTTTGTTCTTTTGTCAGTCCATAGAATATTCAGTGCTCTTCTCCAACAGCACAAATCAGTCATCACTTCTTTTGTTAACGTTGTTCAATGTCCAGCTCTCAGATAAATTAGCACATGATTAGAAAGACTATGGTTTAATTCAAGTGCACCTGAGTCTTTAACATCATTATCCTTCAGGACCTTTGACAGCAGGCTTTTCCAATGTAATATGTCTCCTGGTCTCCTGACCTTCTGGCTGCTGGTACCGAGGATGTTGATTGTAGATGCAAGTTAGATGATATCATTTATAATTTCAATCTTTTCTCCATCTATCATGATGTTGCCTATTGACCCATTGTTAAAGATCTTTGTTTTCTTGATGTTGAGATAAAATCCATATTGAAGGATTTAGTTCTTGATCTTCTGCAGCAAGAGCGTCACTCAGGTCCTCACTTTCAACAAGCAAGTTAGTGTCATCTACATAGCACACGTTACTGATGAGTCTTTCTCCAATCCTGATGCCACAGTTTCTTGAATGATTTGCTCAGTATCCCTTGGCCAGTGTTACAGTATAAGGCTGAACTGAAAAACATGCAACCCTTGGTTTTGTTGCAATTTACCACTGATTTGATTCTGACTCATGATGACCCCATTTTCACAGAGAAGAGCTGCTCCATAGGGTTTTCAAGGTTGTAACCTATAGGAAGCGCATGGCCAGGTCTATTTTCCCACATAAAACACTTGCTACAGAAGATCAGAGATCACAGCCATTGATAAGGACTACATCTCAACATCAGGAAACAAGAATCCTTACCACTGGACCAATAGACAACATCGTGATGGAGAAGACTGAAGTTGTCAACTGTGTCATTTTACTTGGATCCACAATCAACACCCATGGTAACAGCAGTCAAGAAATCAAAAAACATGTTGCATGGGGAAAATCTGCTGTCATGGACCTTTCTAGAGTGCTCCTGTTGTGTGCTGTTGAGTCGCCTGTGACTCATAGCAACCCTGTGTACAGCAGCTCTGAAGCCTGCCCTGATCCAGTCTCACTGACTCCCGACACACCTATCCCGATGACCCCAGTTTCTGTGTCAGTCCATCTCATCTGGGGTCTTCCTGTCCTATGCTGTCCCTTTTACCCTCTGAGCATGATGTCCTTCTCCAAGGATCAGTTTCTCCTGGCCACATGCCCAAAGTATGTGAGACAAAGCTTCAAAATCCTAGCCTCCAAGGAGAAACTTGATTTTACCCTCTGTAAGACCTGTTTGTTCTCTTGGTGATCCATGGTGTATTCAGTACTCTACTTCAGCTCAGGTGTGCTCAAGAGCCATAGTCTTTTCAGTTGCAACAGAAAGGCTGATGCCTGGAATCATGGTTTTAAAGAAGAGTTCTGAATATCCTGCGGACTACCAAGAGAACAAACAAAGTGGTCTTTTTGGAAGTGCAGCTAGGGTACTCTTATAGGCAAAGATGGTGAAACTTGATCTCATGTGACCAGTCTTCGGAAAAAGATACTATGCTGGGAAAAATGGAAGGGCAACAAAAAAGAGGAAGATCCTCAACAAGGTCAATTGACGTAGTAACTAACAATGGTCTGGAGCCCATTGGAGGTCAGAGGATGGGGGAGGATAGGCAAAGTTACAGTCTTGTTCATAGGGTAACTATGAATCATGGTCATAGTCAATGACACCTAGCAATAAAAACAGCGTTTTCCCCAAGAGTGAGCCCTGGTTGTGCAGTGATTAAGCATTTTACTTGAGTTGGCTACTAACCAGCAGTGTGAACACACCAGCCACATGACAGGAGAAATGTAGTCTGTTTTCATAAATGTTACATACTGCCTTGGAAACTCCATGGCCAGTTGTATCTTTCTTTTAGATAGAGTCACTATGACTTATAACTTACTTGGTGGAAATGAGTTTGGTTTCATCTGTTGCCTAACCATTTGTTCCCTCATGAAATGTGCCAATGTGTTTTGGATAGGTGTTTACAACTTCTTTTCTTTTGTTCAGCATTACACACTTCCTTAGTTTTTTCCGGAGATTTTGGTTTGCTCGTATTTTTGCGGAAGTCACTAGGTATCGAAGAAGTAAGTTGAAATTTTTCGTTTTACTTTTCTTATACTTTTGTATTAATGACTCCTATGCTTAATTGTACTTACCATAATATATCTACTTCTCTTGCTGCAGTTTCGAGATTGTAGAGAAGAAGTCCTGAAATTTTTATATGTCTTCTTAGATAAAATTGGCCAGAAGGTTACGCCTTATGCTCTTGATATCAAGGTAAGTAGGCTTGTGTTAGAAATGAAACGGGTATTTTCTTTCTTTCTGTTTTTGTTTTGGTTGAGTTTGGTTTTTGTTTTGTTTTGTTTTTAGGAAGAATAGTTTTAGTTGTAATGGGCTAATAGTCAAAAAGGTTTTGGTGGAATAAGATCTATAATGCCTTTTACAAAGGGCCATCATAAATTGTTGGATTGTTAAAATTGTGGCAATATTATGAAAGACTTTAGAAGGCAGTTTTAAAGCCTCTGCCTGCTGGGTGAAATTTATTTCCTATGTCTAAGTACTGTCTCAGAGAGTAGTCTTAAAGTGCAACTTTAATGAGTCCCCAATTCTAAATGACCTGTACCTGCCTTGAGTTCCCCAGAACAAACCCAGGCTGCCTTCTAAGTTCCTATGGAAACAGCATAAGTTGAGGGTTTTTTGGTATACATATTCGTATTTTGAGCAGGCATCATGTGCCAAGGTATATTGTTCTTACTTGTCTTAACTTCTAGTTCTTGTGAGCTAAGAGTTGATAAACAAGAACATTTTCATGATAAAATAATTTATAAGAAAATATTTTAGAGATTTTGTTGAATGCCATTAAGTTACCTTAAACTCATAGCAATGCTGTACAACAAAGATGAACTGCCTGATGGAGTTTTCTGGGCGGTGATCTTTATGACAGCATTTCCTACAAAACCATTTGTTGTTGTTGGTAGGTGCTGTTGAGTGCAATGCTGTGAACAACAGATCTGAACCCTGTTCTATCCTGTGTTACCCTTACCATCTCTAACATACTTGAGCCCATTGCTGTAGTCATTGTGTCAATCTAGCTCATTGAGGGTCTTCCTCTTTTTCTTTGACCCTCCACCTTTCTAAGGAAAAGCCTCTCCTAGCAACGTGCCCAAAGTATGTAGATAAACTTCACGAAGTTTGTGAGACAGAGCCCTTGGTCTAGCAGCAGAGTGCCTCCAACAGACTCCTTCATGGGTGTGATAGTAATTATCTTTCTTGTTATGTTCTGTTGAATGTCTGTGACTCATAGCAACCCTATGTACAATAGCTCTGAACTCTGCTATATCCTGAGCCAGTCTCACTGTCGCCAACACACCTACCTCCATTACCCCAGTTACTGTGTCAGCCAGTCTCATCTAGGGTCTTTCTCTCCTGCACTGTCCCACCATCCTTCCAAACATGTTGTCCTTCTCAGGGACTGGTCCAAAGTAATGTGAGACCGCATCAAAATTCTTGCCTCCAAGGAGCAGCTTGGTTTCACCCTTTGCAGGGTAAACCTGTATTTTCTCTTTGCAGTCCATGGTATATGTTCAATAGTCTTGTCCAGCACCACAATTCAAAGCATCCGTTTTTCTGTCATCCCTAGTCATTGTTCAGCTTTTTGATGCATAGCAAATAATTATCCATAGTGAAGACCATGGCCTGAGGTAGGTGCGCCTTAGTCTTAGTCTTGGGACTGACATTGCATTTCGGTACTTTGGAGAGGTCCCTGACAGCAGCTTTCCCCAGAGCAGTGTGTTTTCTGATTTCTTGACTGCTAGTACCAAGAGTGTTGATTATGAAGTCAAGCTTGTTAACAGTCTCAATCTCTTCATCATTATTATAAAATCTATTACTGTTGTTGTTTTTAGGTGCTGTCGAGTCAGCTGCAACTTAGTGACCCTGTGTACAGCAGATCTGATCCTGTCTCTATATTATGCCCTCTTCATGATCTCTGATATACTTGAATTCACTCTTACAGTTTCTGTATCAATCCATTTGTTGAGGGCCTTTGTCTCTCTTTGACCTCCACTTTTCCCAGCATGGTATCTTTTTACCAAGGACTAGCACCTCTTGACTACATGCCTGAAGTATGTGAGATGACTTTCCACTCCTTGCCTCTAAGACACACTTTACTTGTGCTTTCTCCAAGACTGATTTGTTTGTTCTTTGGGTAATCCCTGGAGTATTTGGTATTCTTTGACAACCCCACAACCCAAAGAAATCAGTTCTTCTTCTGTCACTCTTATTAATTGTCCAATTTTCAGATGCATAGGAAGTAATTGAAAAGACATGGTTTGAATCAGGTGCACCTTGGTCTTTAAAGTGACATCACTGCTCTTTTGGCCTTTTTTTTGAGAGATCTGGTACAACCCCATTGTGACACTTTTTTCTTTTCTTTTTAATTCAGCTTTTTAATAGAATATGTTTTACAAGGATTGGGACCATGAACACATGTATATGAACACAGTCAGATATTACCTAAATGGATGTTATGTAGTCCATGACAGTAGAGTTTTATTTTTTATGCCTAGTCACTGAAAAGAGTTTCTAAATGTCTCTGTAAGTTTGTCCTCTCTTTCCTAATGACAAGTGTTTTTGTTGTCATTAGAAGCTGTTGATTTAACTATGACTTGCAGCCACCCTATGAATAGCAGATCTGAAGCCTACCCTATCGTCGGCTATCCTCACAATCTCCTCATGCTCAAGTCCACTCGTACAGTCGAAGTCCACTGTTACAGTCACTGTGTCAAACCGTCTTGTTGAAGGTCTTCCTCATCTTCTCTTAACCTTTCTCAGCATGATGTCTTTTTCCAAAGATTTTCCCCTCCTGACAACGTGCCCAAAATAAGTGGAACAAAGTTTCACCTCCTTGCTGCTAAGGAGTAACCTGATTGCACTTCCTCCAAAATGGGCCTGTTTGTTCTTTTGGCAGTCCATGAAATAGTCAACACTTTTCTCCAGTACCACAAGTTCAGAGGCACTGATGATTCTTTTGCCATCCTTACTCATTCTCCAATTTTCAGATGCATATTATGCAAACTAAAGTACCATGGCTTAGATCAGGTGCACCTTTGTTTTTAAACTAACATTGCTCTTTAGCACTTTGGAGAGTACTTGGACAGCACATTTTTTCCAAGGCAACTTGTCTTGATTTCTTGACTACTTCTACCATGGATGTTGACTGCGTGTGACACATTTATTTCTTGACTGCTGCTGCCATGGGTGTTGATTGTGGATCCAAGTAAAATTAAATCATTGACAGAATCTTTGTAAGTTACAAAATATTTTCTTGTAAATTATGGCTTTTCTTTTTTAAAAGTAGGCTTTCAGTTTGCTCTCTTAGCTTGTAATCTTATTTGTAATTTTTAGTATTTTAAAAAATTATCTCTGTCATAGCATTAACTTTGTAGAGTATTTGACCATTTTCATAGTTTTTTAATGCTAAGTTTATTTTTTTGAGTATTTAACGAAAGAATTAGATTTTGTCTTTAATACTTTGAATGATACTGATATTATCTCCTTTCATAATCTAGGATGCTTGTACTATTGTATATACAAAAGATAAAGCTGCTAAATGTAAAATCCCAGCCCTCGATCTTCTTATTAAGGTAATTTTATGTGTATATGTTTATGTATTTTTTATTCTACTTGCTGCTATTTGTTGTTATATGCCATTGAGTTGGGACCAACTTATAACTGACCCACCAATGAGTTGGTCACGTGGCCAGGAGAGACCGATCTTTGGAGAAGGAGTCATGCTTGGAAGGGTGGAGGAACAGAGCAGGAGGGGAAAACCACGAAGGAAATGGTGTTTTTTTTAAAATTTATTTTATGTGTGTACCGTCAAATTGGATCTGACTGGCATAGGAGGCGATTGTTCCTCCCTCTTCAGCAGAGCATCTGGTGGATTTGAACCGTGTACCTCTGGGATTGCAACCATGAAGGAAATGGATTGATACAGTGACTGGGGAAATTGGTGTTGGTGTGTTGGAGTCAGTGAGACTGGCTTAGGACAGGGCAGGCTTCAGAGCTGCTATACAGAGGGTTGCCATGAGTTACAGGCGACTTGTTGACACATAACAATAACAACAATAATGACACTGTAAAAGTAATAAGAGGAGCATGGGGATGACCATATCTGACTTCCACTGGCTTCACAAGGGAGAATTGTCCCCATCCTCAGCATCCACAGCACAAAAACATGTCAGACATGTCTGCCACCCTCCTGCACTGCTTTCTACTAATTCCAACAATCTTACCGCTCTCCTGGGTCCAAATCCATTACAGTAGCTCACAGGGCAGGATGATTATGATATTTATTAGGAAAGTCAAAGACTGTAATTGGGTTGATAACAGGATGTATTCACTCAGGACAGATGCTGAAATGTGTTCACAGGTCCCTTAGCCTTCGGCTTCACAGCTTCTGACCAGTGTTACAAAGCTCTTACTCCTGCTGCTTGTGGCTCTTTTCCTCCCTCTAGCCCTCCAACAAACTTGGACAAGTTTCTAGCTGGTTCCATGGAGTAGCATTCCCTGGGTCAGCTCTATCTCATATCTCATCTCTGGTTCTTTGCTGCAGTGGCTGCTGTTGCTGCTCTTGTAGGCCCAGGTCTAGGTGGCACAGGAATCTTCGAGCATCAAGGATACCCACTCTACATAGTCTGCTTCTTTGCTGGTAGTGATATTCCCAGAATTTGCTGCTGAACCTGCTAACTTTAGTGGCAAGACTAGCCATTCAGTACCCTGAAGATAGGTTAATATACACTATTTTCATATTCTTCCCCATTTACATGGTAAAGTCAAGGTTGAAGTCAATAGCTAAAAAAGCCATTTTGAACAAAAAAAAAATCCCTTAATTTCACAGTTATAAATGGGGAAGATACTATCTTTCACTTTTGAGCAGCTGATTCAAAAGCTCAACTCCTTAGAAACTACGCTAATCAAAGTCTATTGCATTTAACATGCAATTATTACATTTAACATACAATTAAAAAACCTAACTTTTTGAGGTTTTGTTTGGGGGCATTGAATCATATTGATGTAAAAATAAAATATAGGTTTTCAACCCATCACCTACCAATTCCTTGGTATTTTGTTCTCATACCTCTCTGGGAATAAGGATTGTGAGAGACATGAAGAAAAAATAAGAAATTTGCTACTCTTCCATTTATCACCTGTATATAAAACCCTTGACATTGGGAATTGGTGTGTATGTTGTATGAAAATAGATCTTGGGACACACCCTCATTTGTAATCATTTCCACCTTTATCTGTCATTTAGATTTTTTTAACTTCCTTTGGGTCCTGTCCTACTCTTAACATGTGGTTTGCTATGACTCCGAATAGACTTTGACATTAGCCACCTTTGGTTTTTTAATCTAGTTGGTCCTTGGCTTGAAGACCTTTTAGTGAATGACTCATATTTTTATTGTTTTTTTTGGGGAAACAAGTTTGGACCACCTTCCCCTTTGTAAGCAGGGCCCTCTATACTTAGCTGAGATTCCACCTCTGAATAATCTTAAGAGTTTCAGGAGGCTTTTGTAACTTCTTTTGAGCACATGTCCACTCATTGCATATACAAGCATTTAGAGAGATGGAAAACCTTTTCTTAATTCTTTTCCTTATTATTGTTGATTGCCTTCAAGTCAAGCATGACTCACAGCAACCCTACGAACAAAAAGCTTGAAGGCCATCTGCAACAATCGACATTTATGTAGTTCATAGAATTTCCAGAGGCATTTCCTAAGTAAATTCTAATTTATATTCTTATAATTTCTTCAGACATTGAGAAGTTCTAGACTCATGGAAGAGTTCAAAGTTAGAGAATTATTTAGCAAATTCTATGGAGAACTTGCTATGAAGACAAAAATAGCAGATACAGGTAAGACATTTTATTTATTTGTAGTTTTTTATTTTTGAGTGAAAGTGAGACACACTTTAGAGTCATTGTAAGATAATTGAACAAATTGATGTAACTTTTCCCCCTAGTGGAAAATTCGGATTTCCCATCAAAATGTATTTATGTTTTATATTGTAATACTTTCTGAAAATAAACCAAAAGGAAAATAGGTAAAATTATATGCAGTGACTTCTGTTTAAAAGACTTCTGTTTATGAAAGTTTTAATTTTTACAGAATTATTTCTTGAAATAAAAACACAGCAGATTATATGTAAAAGTTAGTTTGCAATAACAGATTTGTATAGAACCCATATGGAAAATTCCCTTATATAAAACTAGTTACTTTGTATGACTTACTGTGAATTACTTTTAAACTAAATGGGCTTTTAATTTCTTTTTCTTAATGAGACCTTCATTTTATCTCTTTTTTTAAAAATTTAACCATTCTTTCATCTGTATCTTTTTTTCCAGTTTTAGAGAAAATTTATGAGCTCCTGGGAGTGTTAGGTGAAGTTCATCCTAGTGAGATGGTAAATAATTCAGAAAAACTGTTCCGAGCCTTTTTGGGGGAATTGAAGACTCAGGTATTACTTTGACTTACTTCAGCTTTAGCATAGGATATTTTCAAACACTGGGATTGGTTTTTGCTTTTAATAATATCTTCTTAAAACTTTCCTTTCAGATGACATCCACAGTGAGAGAGCCCAAACTACCTGTTGTGGCAGGGTGTCTGAAGGGTTTAACTTCCCTGATGTGTAACTTCACTAAATCTGTGGAGGAAGGTATTACCTTGCCTTACATAATATTCTTTTCTGTTGTTAATAAGTCATGTTTTTTTGTTGTTGTTGTTTTTATTATTATTAAATTTTATTAGCTTTAATGAACATTTACAGAGATTTTGGATTTTCATTCATTCATTGTTGCACTGTTTTCTCTACCCTCCTCCCCAGTTCGTTTTTCTCCCCCCCCCCCCGAATGTCTGTTTTAATTGTCCAATTGCCACAGTGTTTGTCAAAGCCAGTTCTGATTAATCTCCTTTGTCAGTGTGTTCTTTGCCATTCCCTATCACTCCTCCCTGAGAGAGACTTCACCCTGATTCATAAGGAAAAGGAGATGGCGTATTCTCTTAGCTACTTCCTGCTGAAAAGGGACGCTGTGGGTTTCAGGGTGAAGATCTTCTCTCACTACTCTAAAGGGCCCCTTTGGCAGGAGGAAACACATAGACTATTATGGAGATTGATTTTGGAATTGAGATGCACTGTTATCAATAGTGCTTAGCCATACATTTTCATATCCTTGAAGATGTATCATGGAAGTGTTGCAGCTTAGAAGACACAAATTTAACTAACAAGTTAAAAGTACATGAGTCAAAAATTAAAAAGCAATAATATTCCAAGTAGAGGTTCTGATAGTGGCACAAATCAAGTTACAGAGGGAAGGTGGTTCTTACAATAAAAGGCCTATAGACTAGCACTTTGTCTATTATAGTGTAGAGGTTAGGAACCACAAGATGTAGAGGCTCAGCTATGTCATTTATGGTTCTGAAGTCCTGGAGCAAATTCCATCTACCACTGAGTTGTTTTACAACTCGGAATTTCGCATGCAAGGTAGAGGTGAAGTAAGGAACTGCTTATGAAGTTTTCCGTCCATTCCAACAACTAAGAAATAGTGAGAAGAGTTGGGACCTCCGAAGGTTTTTAGGACCAATTAGTAGGCTCTGTGTCCAGGAGAAAATGAATATACTTACCAGTAATGTTAATGCTCACCCACGGCTCTTCTGGGAGGATCTAAATTGTTGAAGCGTCCTCCTTTGTTTCCAGCTGGGAGCTGGGGCCTGTCAGTCCTGTCTGCCACCAGGACCTGATGTGGGCCACCTTGGCCAAGTGTCCTTCAGAGCCACACTTAAAACAAGTGAGTGGGAGCTTCCTCTCTACTCCCTTGCCTATCTGTGGCTCTGGTCTCTGACACTGTCTACTGAAGTGGCCCAGCTTTCCACAGTGGAAGCAATTCTGACCTCCTTTATTACCTTTGGGTGGCACTGTATATGAGTAAGACTTCCTTTTCCTGACACAGGCCCTAAACTGGCAGCAATAGCTGCCCCAATAATTTTGGCCATTCTCTGGTCTTTTCTTTTCCCTCTAGATCCCAATTGTTAAAAGAGGGAAAAATTTAAGCAAATGTATAACAAATAATTTTGAACATTATAATCTTTTAAGCTTAAGGATAGAAGTATTAATAATATCATTTCCAATCGAGAGATACATGTTCCAATGCAGTACCTATTTTCCATAGATGGTTTTGGTAAGAGTAATATTGTAAATGTGGATACATTTCCACTATTCCTCCTCCATGCCACGATATAGTGTTACTGGCTTGAGCAGTTATAAATCCATTGCCATCCTTACTCTAACTTAATTCTTTTTTTTTTAATTTAAATTTGATATTAATTTCAGTGAAAATTTACAGAAGCTTTGGATTTCCATTCATTCATTGTTGTAGATTTGTCCCCTCCCAGTTAATAAGTCATTGTATGTCTTCAAGTCAGAACTAACTCACAGTTGCCTCTCTAATATGTTTTCTTTGACAGTTAATCGCACAGGAAGAGTTGCCCATCTTTCTCCTGTGAAGCCACTAGTGGATTCGAGCTATTCTGAGGGAGTGTAGTGATAGGTCATTGTAGGTTAGTTTTACATTTTAAATTATTTTTCTACTTTACTGTGAAAATATTACACACCTAAACATTTCCCAGTACAGCAAGTTTCACAGTTACAATTCAATGACATTTATTATGGTTTTCATGTTGTAGCCCTATTACTGCTCTTTTTTTCCAGATTTTCCACCACTGTTAAGATAAATTTGATGCCCTCAAAACCAAGCCTTTCGTCATCCTTCTCATAACTAGTAACCAAACCTTCTTTGGTGTGTATATTTTTCATATATGTGCGATCAGACAGTATTTGTTCTTTTGTGACTGACTTAATTTGGTCAGCACAAAGTTTTCAAGGCTCATCCATATTATGGCATGCGTCAGAATTTAATTTCTCTTTACTGATGTGTGGTAAATTGGATCTATATGCCACATTGTACAAAGGGGCATATACATCTACTGGAATATACACAAAAAATAGGTATATGTAAATGCAGTACCCTAGTTACTACTCACCCAAGAATGCTGTAGAACATTATCTTTGTGGACTGTGTTTTACCATTTGTCAAAAGAGACAGCATGGGGACATCTCTATCTGACCTCTGCCAACTCTTCTGTTGATACAGTTGCCCCCATCAACATCTACACATAAAAGCAATTTCTGTGAGGTCAGACATGTTTTCCACACCTCCATACCTCTTTCTACTAGTTCCAGCACCAGTCCAACTGCCCACTGGGTCCAGTATCTGTTGCAGTATGCACACTTTATAGAACCATCCTCAGGATTATGGGGTTTATTCAGGTTGACCACAGGACGGCTTCAATAGTGTGCTTACAGGCCACTCAACCTCAACCTTTAGCCTTGCACCTTTAGGCTAGTGTTACAAAGCTCTCTTAGTTCTGCCAGTTAAGCCATCTCTCTCCCAGTCATCCAGCGAGCTTGGATGAAGGCTTGTGGTTCTGATTCTGTAGGGTAGCAATCCCAAGGTAAACCCTTCTTTATGCTGATTCTCTGGTGCAGCTACTGTTGCTGGTTCTATGCCCTCATCTGAGTGGCAGAGGAATCTCTGACCCCGAAGGAAGCATGCTGCATTCTCCGCTTCTTTGCTAGTCATGAGATTCCCCCTAAATTTCTGCCACTGAAACTACTTAACTTAATGTCAATACTAGCCAGTCCCCTTGTGGATTGCATTTTGAAAAAGAAAACTCTTGGCACCCTATCAGTTGGCCTTGTCATTCCAGCCACCCTCAGGACTGTGGGCCCAAGATGTTAGGACCACCAGTTCATTCCCTCTGGATGTTTGGCTGTAATTAAGAAGTACACATAGCTTTGCCTTGTCTCTGCTATGTACATGGACATATTTGTGGCATATAATAACATAAATGTAGGAATTGTACACTTTTTTGGCAAAGTCTTGCTGAATGAGAGTTACTAATTTTTAGGTTATTTGTCATCAAATTGGAACCAACCCATAGCTGTTTTTGTGGTACTGTTAGATGCTGTCAAGTCAGGTATGACTCATAGCAGTTCTGAACAACAAAGATGAACCCTGCCCTATCCTGTGCCATCCTCATAAACTTTGACACTCATGAGCCCATTGTACTGTCACTGTGTCTGTCCATCTCACTGAAAGCTTTCCTCTCTTTCTCTTACCTTCCAACTTTCCAAACATGATCTTCCCTACCAAGAAATAGCTTCTCCTAGCAACATATCCAAAATATAAAAGATGAGCTTTACCATCTGCCTCCAAGGAACACTCCAGCTGCACTTTTTCTAAGACATATCTGCTCTTTTGGCAACTCATGGGATATTCAGTACTCTTTCCAACACCACAACTCAAAGGCATCAATTCTTGTCATCCTTATTTATTGTCCAGCTCTCAGACACACATAGCAAGTGATTGAAAAGATTGTGGTCTGAATCAGGTGCACCTTAGTCTTCAAAGTGACATCATTACTTTTCAGTATTTTGGAGCAATCCCTGGAAGCAGATTTGCCCAATGAAATATGTCTCCTAACCTCCCAACTGCTGGTACCAAGGGTGTTGATTGTTGATTCAAGCAAAATGAAGTCATTAACAACTTCAGCCCTTTTTCTATCATTATGTTTCCTATTGGCTTAGTGCTGAGGATTTTTATCTTCTTGTTACTGAGGTGTAATCCATATTGATGGCTGTAGTCCTTGACCTTCTGCACCAAGCATTTGAAGTTCTCCTCACTTTCAGTGAGCAAAGTGTGTCATCTGTATAACATATGTTGTTGATGAGTCTTCCTCCGATCCTGAAGCCACATTCCTCTTTATAGAGTCCAGCTTCATGAATTACTTGCTCAGCATACAGATTGAATAGCTGTGGAGACGGATATATCCCTGGTGCACACCCTTCCCAATTTTAAACCATCCAGTGTTCCCTTGCTTTGTTCAGACAACGAATTCTTGGTCTAGGTATTGATTCCATATGAACACAATTGAGTGCTGGGATTCCTATTTTTCACAGTGTTGGTCGTAGTTTGTTGTGAGACACACAGTCAAATGTCTTTGCATAGTTTATAAGACACAGATAAACATTCTTTTGATATTTTCTTCTTTTAGCCAAGATCTGTCTAACATAAGCAGCAATATCCTTGTTGCCACAGCATTTTCTAAACCCCTCGTGAACTTCTGGAAGTTCCCTTTTAATGTACTGTTTTTCTAGCTGTTTTTGGTGATATTTTGATTGTGTGTGGTATTAATGATATTGTTCATTAATTTCCATATTCTGTTCTATCACCTTTTTTGGGAATGGGAGCAAATATGGATCTCTTCCAGTCAGTCAGAGAGGCAGCTGTCCTCCAGATTTCCTGGCATCCAGGTTGTGTCTGTTAATTGACACTAATATAAAAGGAAGACTAATAAACAATGTTAATTGGATCTAAAAACCCAACTCCAGCAGATTGTTAGAGGTTATAAATCATGCAGGAAGAGATTTCCTGTCTTTCTACCTTAGAGTACCAGGTAGATTTGATCTCTGCTCCTTGATCCTGTTTTTATTCGGTGCTGACTCTAAGTGACTCTGTGAACCCGTCCTGTACCATCCTCATCATCTCGGACACGAGTCCATTGCCACAGTCACTGTGTAATGCTTGTTTGCAGCTGTTGCATTTTTGAGTGACTTCCCATCTGAGTTCTACCTCTAATATTATAGCTACCTGCATTCTTCTGTTGTTCATAGGGTTTTTGAAGACCTGTTATTTCAGAGGTAGATGACCAATCCTGCTTCCCAGTCTCTCTTAATTGAAGAGCTCTGCTGAAAGCTGTCCACCATGGGTAACCCTGCTGGCATTGATGGCATAGCTTTCAGCATCACAGGAAACCACAAGTCACCCCCCTATGGCCAACTGACAGACCAATGTTGTACTGATAACAAACATAGGCTGTTCTATTTATTTAGTTAGTCTTTGCTGTTTGTACTTTTGTTCGTAAGTTCATTATCGTAAGTGTGGCCTTATGGAGTTGCCTATGCTTTTTCTTCTAAGAAGTTCACGGTTTGCACATTTTAAATCCTTAATCCACTCTGAAATTTTTTATATGTGATTCATAGATTCCATTTTCTTTTTCTGCATGTGGAAATAAAATGTTCCCTCTGTTGTTTGTTGAATAGACTTTTTTCTGAAACAAATGAACTTAGCATCCTTATAAAAAAAATCAGATACATGGGTTTATTTTTGGGCTTTCATTTCCTACATTATATTTTTAATTTACCATGTTTATGCTACTTGACTCTGCTGGCAGGTAATACTATGTATTGTTCTTTGTACTTAAAGAATAATGCTTAATAGTAGTCATACCTTGTGCTAAGGAATATCTCTCTAGGTATTTTAGAAGGAAAATTTTCATAATGACTTTATAAATAAAACATAATATATATGTTATGTTATAACATATAATACACTTTGCTCACAGTCACACAGTTGGTACAGTAGCAGAATGTTGTTGCTGCTGTTTTCAGGCTGCGACTCACAATGACCCTTTCTCTGTATAACAGAGGGAGATCTTGCCCCACTGTCCTCCATCCTTATTGCATCTGTTGTCCTTAGGTTGATTACTGCAGTCACTATATCAATCTATCACATTCAGAGTCTTTCTTTTTCAAAGCCCCTATTTTTTAAAACATGTTTCCCTTCAGAGACAGGTCCCTCTTGATAATATGTATGTGAAGATTTGCACAATGCAACAGGTTTTTTATTGTCTTGACTGCTATTGCCTTGAATGTTGATTGTGGATCCAAGAAAAGTGAAATACTTGACAACTTAAATTTTTCTACATTGTCAATCTTTTTTTCAGCATCTAGATAGTATTTAAAGCTGTGAATATGATTGACCTAGTAAAAAGGTATACAGAGAGGATTGACAAAGGGTCTGTCTCATTGACCTAAAGCTGACACGATGAAACACTATACAGTGGGTGGCCTTGGCGAACACAAGTGTATTTACCTCACAGTTCTCGAGGTCCTGAGTCTGAATTCTGAGGAAGAGCAGGGCTGTGGTCTTTCTTATCTCTGTCAGTTTTTGAAAGCCCTGAGTGTTTCTTGACATGCTTTGTTTGTAAACATATCTCATGGCCTGTGGTTTTCCAGTTAGTGACCCTCTAAGACAGCACTTGGAAGAGATTAGTATTAGAGACCATCCAGACCATGTTTAATTTAGCTGATTATCTATGCATCAAAACCTAGTTTCAAACTAAGTCACATTGACAGTTATCAAGGTTAGGAGATCAGCCTTTCTTTTTGGGGGAACACAAGCAGAGTCTGAGAAGAGACCATCTCTAGGAGAGGTGGTGGCACTTCCTTGCTCTGAAAGGATTCTGAATGAGGGAAGGGGATAACTCTCCATCTAAGTGAGAAACCAGGCAAGCCCGAGTATTAGCAGGTAAACCATTATTCAGATGGAGGCAATCTGAAGAAAACCTTTCCGAGAAACCCGGAGACATAGGATAACAAAGAAACTGAGTGCAGCTGATAAGAGGAGAATTTAGGTTTTTAGAAACATATACAAAAGCATGCTTATACAATAGCAGGCCACTAAAGATGGTGAGGTCCACCCAAGGAGTCACATAGGTGGATGAAGAGTCAGGGTCTAAGGCTTTGAGAAGATAGTACTGTTCCTGCCACTGGGCGTTCACACTTGTCCTTATCCATCTGACTTCCTGGCTGTGGGGTCCACCACATGCTTGCCAGCGACCAGCACACAGTATGTGCTGCCCATGCCCCTGTTTCTGCCCATTTATATTTGCACTGTTACTTTCCATTCGAATGACCCACTTCCCAGCTCTTGCTTATGATTTTAGCCCTGATTTAAATGCTGCCATTTTTGTAAAGTCTTTCTTAAACAAAATGAATCTCTTCTGTATTCTAAAGCACTGTCTTTCATTTGTATTATGCTATCTGGGAGCTCAGATGAACTTAGCCCAAAAGCAGGCAGTTTGAGTCCACCAGCTTCACCATGGAGGAAAGAGGATCAGTCTCCTCTTGTGTGATTTCCAGTTTCTGAAAACCCTCCAGAGGATCAGCTTTTGTGAGAAAACAATTTTAAGAGCAAGGGTCAGTGGGATAGTGGGTTTTATGCTAGTCTGCTAATAAAAATGTGTCTACCGGTTGTTCTCTGGGACAAGGATGGACAGTGAGTGTGCTTGTATTAAGATTACAGTGTTGGATACCTGATGAAGGGTGGCCTTGAGTCAGCGTTAACTTGATGACTGTGGATGGTGGGCTTTAAGGGCAAAGATGTGAGGACAAAAACACCATTTGTTTATAGTTGGAAATGGATGAAAAACTGGTGGTTGATTTAAACAACAAGCTATAATGTAAATTAGTTAGGTTAGAAAAAGCTTTTTATTTTTATTTGTATTTCTTATAAAAATGTGATACTTACATGAGAACATTAATAGTTAAAGAATACTTTGAGCATTTAGTTCTTTATTGATTCTTGAAACAACCCTAAAAGAAGGTACGAACAGTCCCCTTTTAGAGAAGAAAATAAATGCTAGCAGCTTATCTAAGAAAGCTTGTAAATGATGACTGGGAGGTTAGACCCATGTCTTCGTTATTTCATAAAGGAGCCCTGGTGGCAGAGGTTTATATGTTGGGTTGTTAACTGAAAGGTTAGCATTTAGAACTCACCAGCCGGTCAGTGGGGTGAAGATGCCAAAGTTTCCTCCTGTGAAGATTTACCACTTTGGAAACCTGATAGAGGGTCTCCAAGAATCAGAATTTTCTCAATGGTATTAGGATTTTCTTTCGGTTTTCTCTGTTGATTCAGATTGCTCTTTTTGCTTTCTATAGCGTTGTTGTTGTTGTTGTTGTTATGTGCCGTCGAGTCGCTTGCAACTCATCGTGACCCTATGTACAACGGCCCTAAACCCTGCTCTATTCTGTGCCATTCGCACTGCCTCTGACACACTCATCCCAACTACCCCAGTCACCGAATCAATCCACCTCATATATGGTCTTCCCCTCTTGTGCCATCCCTCCACCCTCCCAAGCATGATGTCCCTCTCCAAGGACCTGTCCCTCCTTACAACATGTCCAAAGTATGTTTAGATGAAGCCTCAGAATCCTTGCCTCCAAGGAACAGCCTGGTTGAACCCTCTCCAGGATGAATCTGTGTTTTCTTGGCAGTCCATGGTACATTCAGTACTCTTTTCCAGCACCGCAGCTCAAAGTCATCAGATCTCCTTCTATCCTTCCTAGACATTGTCCAACTCTCTGATTCATATTAAGTGATTGCAAAGACCATGGCCTGTATCAGACGCACCTTAGTCTCCAAGTCTCCAAAGTGACACCATTGCTCTTCAGTACTTTGGAGAGGTCCCTACCAGCAGACGTTCCCATCGCAATACGTTTTTTGATTCCCTGGCTACTGGTGCCAAGAGTGTTGAGCCAAGCAGACTAAAGTTGTTAACAATCTCAATCTCCTTTGCAAATCTCCAGTTAGTGGAAAGGCTGTCCAGTTGTAAAGTTGTCAGTGTTTCAAATGATTCTGTTGTTAAGATTTGTAACAGAGGCTTCTTTTTCTTATTTTTTTATAGACCCCCAGACTTCAAAGGAGATTTTTGATTTTGCACTGAAGGCAGTTTGCCCTCAGGTAGGGTGGCTACTAGTCTAATTCTTTTGCAGTTGAGACCTGTGATGATGAGAGACACTGATGGTGATTTCTCCCCCCTTCCCCCCCCGACATAGATTGATCTGAAGAGATACGCTGTGCCCTCAGGTAAGATTTTGTCCTTAATGAAGGAGTTTTTCAATTACTAAGTTTTTTATTTTATTAGTTTATTAGTTTCAAACAAATGATTAAGTAAAAATAAGTATTTTACCATTGTGATTTTTACACAAAAGTATTTACTGGGAACCTTTTGGACACTGCAAAACTTTGTTGAGAGAGTCACATTTAGGTGAAATTTTTTTAAAAAAAACAAAAACAAAACTTGTGTTGAGAATGCAAACAGCAAAATACACTCATTCAGTGGTTTCTGTTTGTACAATTCAGTGACATTAATTACATCCCTGGGGTTGTACGACCTTTCTTGCCCTTATTTTCTGAGTTGTTCCTTCCCCTGTAACAGAAATTCACTGGCCTCTCAGGTTGTTGTTGTTGTTGTTGTTATGTGCCGTCGAGTCATTTGTGACGCATAATGATCCTATGTACAATGGCGCTAAACCCTGCTCTATCCTGTGCCAATCGCACTGCCTCTGACACCCCCATCCCGATTACTCCAGTCACTGAATCAATCCATCTCATACAGGGTCTTCCCCTCTTGCGCCGTCGCTCCACCCTCTCAAGCATGATGTCCCTCTCCAAGGACCTGTCCCTCCTTGCAACATGCCCAAAGTATGTCAGACAAAGACGCAGAATCCTTGCCTCCAAGGAGTAGTTTGGTTTAACCCTCTCTAGGATGAATCTGTTTGTTTTTTGGCAGTCCATGGTAGGTTCAGTACTCTCCTCCAGCACCACAACTCAAAGGCATCAATTCACCTTTTATCCTCCCTAGTCATTGTCCAACTCTCTTGCATAACAAGTGATTGCAAAGACCATGGCCTGTATCAGGCGCACCTTAGTCTCCAGAGAGACACCATTGCTCTTGAGTACTTTAGAGAGGTCCTTAACAGCAGACTTGCCTATCGCAATACGTTCTTTGTTTTCCTGGCGGCTGGTGCCAAGAGTGTTGACCGTGGAGCCTAGCAAACTGAAGCTGTGAATAATCTCAATCTCTTCGCCATCCATCCTGATGCTGCCAATTGGTCCAGTGGTGAGAATCTTTGTCTTCTTGACATTGAGCCTCAATCCATATTGGAGGCTGCAGTCCCTGACCCTCTGCAGCAAGCTTTTCAGGTCCTCCTCAGTTTCAGCAAGCAGGGTTGTGTCATCTGCATAACGCAGATTGTTGATAGATCTTCTACCAATCCTGACGCCACAGTTCCCCTCTTAGAGCCCAGCTTCCCTGATAATCTGCTCTGCATACAGGTTGAAAACGTGTGGAGACAGGATACATCCCTGGCATACACCCTTCCCAATTTTGACCATGCAATGTTACCCTGCTCTGTTCTGACAACTGCTTCTTGGTCCAAGTATAGGTTTCACATTAGCACGATTAAATGTTCTGGGATTCCCATTCTTCTCGGAGTCAGCCACAGTTTGTTATGATCCACACAGTCAAACGCCTTTGATAATCAATGAAACACAGACATTCTTCTGGTATTCCCTGCTTTCAGCTAAGATCCATCTAATAATAGCTACAGTATCCCTAGTCAGGTTGTTGTTGTTTAATGCCGTCGAGTCATAGACGACTCATAGCGACCCTTTGAACGAACAGCCTGAGCACTGTTCGTACATAAGAGTTTCCGGAGGCAAGCCATTTTAGAAGTGGATGCCGCTCCTGCTTCCAGGCTTGATTTAGTTGGGAAGCTCCAACTGACTGGACGAGATCCATATTTATTCCCATTTCAAAAAAAGATCATCCAACGTAATGTGGAAATTATCAAACAATATCATTAATACCATACAGAAGGAGAATCCTGCTGACGATCATCCAAAAATAACTAGTCAGGTTAGGGTAAATTAATTTTAGGCAAATTATTTAGGGCATCTTCATCTAAATAAATGCCCTTCCTGCTTCTGCACCTCACTTTGGGATTTTCGGGTCCCACTTGCCAATTCAAATGGAGGCTGCTCAGCTCTCTACCTGGATCCCTGGATTACTATATTGTAATGTTAGTAGACTCAGAGTACAGATTGAGCTTTGACACAGAATGGCTTCTTTCTTGGTTCTTTGTTTGGGCTTATATTATCCTTTTCAAGTATGAAAAATTTGTGGTTACAGCTAGTTTACGCTTACTGGCCCTGCATGCATCCCAGTTTAGCACCTATCTTCTGGACAACTACACATCTTTATTTGAAGTGCTTTCGAAGTGGTGTGGTCATATCAATGCAGAACTGAAGAAAACAGCACATGCTGCCCTGGAGGCCTTTCTGAAACAGGTACTATTTAAGTTCAACATTCTTAAAAAAAATATTTCCCACAAACATGCACAAAAAAATTCCAATCTTTTGTATATACATTTGAATGAAAAGCATAACTCAATCCAGCTAGTAACTTTTGTAGTATTTCAAGAATAGTGCTTCAGGATTAGGGTTAGGACCTCAGAGCCAAAATGAAGAGGGATGAGAAGGAGGAGGAGGAGGTGAGAGGGGGTAGAGGCTGGGACATCTCAATCTTCCTGAACTCTGGTACTTTTGCTGAGTTGATCTCTCCTTGTTTTGATTTGATCTTTAGCTGATTATCTCAAACTAATAATCCTGAGCGTTTCTTCATATTTATTGGTCATTTGATTGTCTTCTTCAAAGTGTCTTTTCATGCTTTGTGCCCATTTTGTAATTGGATTGTTTGGCTTTTTCCTAATGAGATGTAGGAACTTTCTATAAACTTTAGAAATCAGTATTTTACCAGATATGTTGTTGCCAAACTTTCTTCCCCCAGTCTTTTGGTTCCCTTTTTTTGCTCTAAGAAGTGCTTTGATGTACTTAGGGATTTACTTTTCAGAATGTTTCAGTCATCTAGTTTATCCTCTTCTGACTGTACCTTTTCATTTATATTTGATTGTCTGTTTGTGCCATTGATTTAATAAAAGAGGGAGCCATAAGCTATGGCTCCTGAATGTGCCTCTTTTTTTTTTGTCATTTTTGTAAAGTTTTAGGTTTTACATGTAGCTACTTGATCCCTCTAGAGTTAATTTTTTTAAAAAAAAATTTTGTTTTGTGATTTTAATTAGAGTTTTTTGTGTGTGTTATGTGAGGTGTGGATGAATCTTGTTTCAATTTTCTGCAAATAGATCACCAATTTTGCCAGCTCTCTTTTTTAATGAGGCTGTCTTTCCCCCATCTCATTCCTTTGTTAAAGACCAGCTGTCTATAAGTGAATAAGTATACTTCTGAGTTCTCAATTTTATTCCACTGATCTATGAATCTGTTGTTCTACCAGTACTATGTTGTTTTGATTACTGTGTCTGTATAGTAGTTTTTTAGATCAAAAAGCCTAGCACCATTTATTACAGAAACTGTTTGTTCCCCACTAAATGAACTTTGACTTCCTGTCAAAAATCAGTTATCCATGAATGAATGGATTTCTTTCTAAATCTTTTTTATTCCACTATATGTCTCATATTGAACTAATTCCTTCAGTTACATTTTTCACAGTGATTCCCCATTCTCTTCAGCTGATTTCTGGTTGGTTTATTTCTAGTACTCCTTGTTCCCTTCTCATCTCTTCAGTAATGTAATTTTTGATGTTTTAATATCATACACATTTTTTAATAAATGGGCAGTACCATTTATTTAGTGTTAATTTTTTGAAACTTTAGCCCCAGAGATAGTTTGAGTGTAAGGTATAAAGAGTTTGTCCGAGTGCTAGTCTTAGAGAATCCTCTAGCTACAATGGTTCATTAAGTTTGTACTTTTCAAATAGTTTAGTTCTTTGTGATGCTGTGCTCTTCAGTCTATCAGGGTGACCCTGATCAGAATGGCCAGTAGTGGTAGCTGGGTAACATCTAGCTTCAGTCATTTTGTAGATTATTTGTAGTTTGTGTAGACTGTTTAATTGTCCTGTAGACTGAGTCTTCCTTCAATCTTTAGTCTTGTTTGTAGACTGATTCTTCCTTCAATCTTTTGTCTCATTGATTCTCTTTTGCTCATAGTAGAGAACAGCATTGTATCCTAGGTGGTTGCAATATCCTATATTTTAAATAATAATTGGAAGGTGCTATGAAGACCCTCAATGAGATGGATTGACACAGTGGCTACAGCAATGAGATGAAGTATATCAGAGATGATGAGGATGACACAGGATCAGATAAGCTTCATCTGCTTTCATACGGTCCCTATGAGTTGTACTTGACTTGAGGGCACTTAACAACAACAATAACATATGTAAAAGGACAACCATGAAAATCTTAAGTAGTGGCTTTGATTGAGATTAGATAGTGTAGTCACTATCTAAAAAGGCATTCAGATGTAGATTGTTTTTCTTCCCCTGTGTTTGAGAGCTTTCTAGATTCTTTTCATTCTTGTCCTGTCTGGTGTTTGTACCAAAATTAAAAATGCTTTCTTGAACACTGGTGTTAGTTTTTGCATTCAGGGTGTTGTAGGTAGACTTTATGTCATCCAAACTAGAGGTCTGCTTGATTGCAAAATGCTTTGCCCTCATGTCACCTAAATCAAGCTGTGTAGTTTGTAGCTTGTTAGATTTTAGAATTATTACTTAAAAACAAGGCACTTTGTGTTTCTTTGTGGACTGTTATTACTGAGAGCTGATTTTGCTGAGTAGTGCAGTGCCCACACTGTATGTGGCATCCGAGGTCACTGAGCCCTGCATATGTACAACTTCAGGTTCAGTTGACCCCTACAGCTGTGATTTGCTTGATCCAAAAATACTATTTTATACATACTTCTTCTCACATTTATCCAGCCTCTTCTAGTCCCTTGCTCTGTGAGAGTCAGGACCGTTTGATAATGTAGCCTTTTTCAAAGAAGCAACTTTCATGGTATCGTGACCAGAGCATTTTACTGCTAATCAAACTGCAGCCAGTTTGAACTCAACATCAGCTCCATAGGCCAGTAGATTCTATATGGAGTTAGAGCCTTTGAAATCTTATCTGTGGGCAGTTCTGCTCTGTCCTGTTTGGTTACTGTGAGATGGAATCAAGCTGATGGTAGTGGGTTGGGGTTCCCCGCCCCCCGCCCCCACCCCCAAGAGGTATTTCTGAAACTTATTCAGAAAGCTTATGGAAATACAAGTTCTCTGAGTAAAAGCAATTGCATGGAACTGTAAGGACACTTTAACAATGACCTAAACAAATCTAGTTTTTTCACAAAGGGCCCCTGGTGGTACAGTGTGTTTGAACTCACCATCCACTTCATTAGCAAAGAGACCAAGCAGTTGTAAAGGCTAGAGACTTGGAGGCCCCAGAGGATAGTTTTCTTCTTTAATACATGGTTGCTATGAAGCTAAATCAATTTAAGAGCACACAGGCTTTTTTAATGTTTGTCTAGATTTTCTTGTTTTGCTATTAAGTATTTATTAAAATATATTAAAATTTATATAAAAATTTATTAAAAATAAGCATTATGCAATTACAGGTTTCTTTTATGATTGCAAAAGATGCAGAAAGTCATAAGAGTGCACTGCAGTACTTTATGAAGCAATTTTATGAAATCATCAGAAATGTGGATTCAGGCAGCAAGGAGCTATCCATTGCTGTTCGTGGATATGGACTTTTTGCAGGGGTATGGCTTCATCATTTATTCTTTGATAATTTTGTTTTCATTTGATTTTTAAATTAGCTGTTTATTGTACTTTAACATTTTAAACTTTTATCATTCTATTTTATTTTACTATTAATATTGGATGGTTTTGTCAGTGCTTACTATAGCAAAGATTATTTCTATATATTACTGCAAGTTTTCATAACTTTTACAAGCTGTTACTACATTTTGTAGATAAAATGAGACCCAGGGGCATTAGGTAACTTGCTAATGGGTAAACAGTAACAATCAAATCTTTTTTTTTTTTTTTAATTTTAATGAAAGTTTACAGAGATTTTGGATTTCCATTCATTCATTGTTGCACTTTTCTCCTTGCCCACCCCTCCCTACCAATTCACTTTACTTTTTGAAAAGTAAAAGAGAAAATTCTTTTATTGTTATTCAATCCCTCCCCCCAAGTCCACTCCACTATGCTACCTTTGTAACAATCATAGCAATAATATCTAATCATATATCCCTTTTAAACAGTTCTCACCCCTGTTTCAATGCAGTATACATGATTTATCCTGTCTTTCTCAGTCTCCCCCTAAGCCCTATGTCAGTCCTGTTTTATAGCAGTGGCATTAAGCCGTATTTGTCTTCTTGTGACTGAGATATTTCACTCAGCATAATGTCCTCCAGGGTCACCCATTTTGTGATATATTTCATGAGTTTCTTGTTTTTCGATGCAACATAGTATTCCATTGTGTGAGTATACCAGATCTTCTCTATCCTTTCCTTTGTTGATGGGCACTTGGGTTGTTTCCAATTCTTTGCTATTGTGAACAGAGCAGAAATAAACATAGGTGTGCATGTATCTGTTTGGGTGGCAGTTATGGTTTCTTTAGGGTGTATTCCCAGTAGTGGAATTGCTGGATCAAATGGTATTTCTATTAGCAACTTTTTGATAAAGTGCCATATAGTCTTCCTTAGTGGTTGCACCATTTTACACTCCCACCAGCAGTGAATAAGGGTTAAATTTCTCCACAACCTCGCCTGCATTTGTTGTTTGATGTTCTGTTAAATTTTGCTATTCTTACTGGGGTGAGATGATATCTCATAGTTGTTTTGATTTGCATTTCTCTTAGAACTAGGGATTTTGACCTTTTCTTCATGTGTTTGTTTGCCATCAGAATGTCTTCTTTAGTGACGTGTATGTTCATATCCAGTGCCCATTTTTTGATTGGGTTGTTTATCTTTATCTTCTTGTACTCAAGTATTTTATAAATTCTAGATATAAGTCCCTTCTCAGACATGTCATTACCAAATACTTTTTTCCCAGTCTGTAGCTTCCTTTTTTACCCTGTTGGAGAAGTTTTTGGATGTGCATAGGGATTTGATTCTTAGAAGGTTGTATTCATCTATTTTATCTTCTCCTGGTTGTAGGTTTTTTCAGGATGCTTGGAAGACTGTTTATGTTGTGGATTAGGACTTCTAGAGTTCTTCCAAGCTTGTCTTTACTGAAGTTTATAGTCTTTGGTTTTAGTCCTAGGTCCATGATCCACTTTGACTTGGTATTTGTTTTTGGAGTGAGGTGTGGATCTTGCTTGAGTTTTCTGCAGATTTCCAGTGTTGCTAGCACCATTTGTTAAAAAGGCTATTGTTTCTCCACTGGACTGATTTCATCTCATTGTCAAAAATCAGTTGATGGGCTGATTTCTGTATTCTCAGTTCTATTCCATTGAACTATATGTCTGTCATTGTACCAGTACCACGCTGTCTTGACCACCATGGCAATGTAGTAGGATTTGAAATCAGAGAATGAGATGCCTCCTACCTTGTTTCTTTTTTTAAGGAGTGCTTCGCTTTTTCAGGGCCTCTTTCCATTCCAGATAAAATTGGAGATAGCCTTTTCCAGCTCATTGAAGAATGGGATTAGGATTGGGATTGGGATTGCATTGAATGTGTAAATTGCCTTTGGTAATATTGTCATTTTCACAATATTGAGTCTTCTTATCCGTGAGCAAGGGATATTCTTCCACTTCTCCAGGTCTCTTTTTGTTTCTTGTAGTAATGTTTTGTAATTTTCTTTGAATAGATCCTTTGTGCTTCTGGTTAGTTTTACTCCCAAGTATTTAATCTTGTGGTTAGCAATTGTGAAGGGTATTGTTTTTCTTAGCTACTGTTCTGTACTCTCTTTGTAGAAAAATCCAGTTGATTTTTGTATGTTGATCTTGTATCCTGCCACTTTGCTGAATTGGTCAACTATGTCCAATAGTTTTTTTGCTAAGTCTTTAGGGTTTTCTAAGTATACTATCATATCATCTGCATGTAGAGATAATTTTACCTCTTCTTTACCTATTTGGATAGTTCTTATTTCCTTCTTTTCTCTTACTGCTTTCACTAAGACTTCTAATACAATATTGAGTATGTTCTGTTCTCAAAGGGAATGACTTTAATCTCTCTCCATTGAGAACAATGTTGGCTCTTGGGTTTGCATATATACTTTTTACTATGTTGAAGAAATTCCCCTCTAATCCTATTTTCTTTAGTTTTTTAATCAGGAAAGAGTGTTGGATTTTGTCAAAGGCCTTTTCTGCATCAATTAATTAGGATCATGTGGTTCTTGGTCTTTGCTTTGTTTATATGATGAATGACATTTATTGTTTTTCTTATGTTGAACCATCCTTGCATACCTGTTATGAATCCCACTTGGTTATGATGTATTATTTTTTTTACGTATCATTGGATTCTATTGGTCAGGCTTTTATTCAGGATTTTTGCATCTATGTTCATAAGAGATACTGGCCTATAGTTTTCTGTATTGGTGGCTTTACCTGGCTTTGGTATCAAGAATATGCTTGCTCCATAAAATGAGTCTGGGAGAATTCCATCTTTTTCTTTTTTCTGAAACAGTTTATGCAGAATTGGTGACAGTTCTTCTCTGAATGTTTGATAAAATTAACTTTTAAAACCATCCGGTCCAGGACTTTATTTGGCTGGAAGTTGTTTTATTACCTTTTCAGTTTCTTCTTTTAATGAGTCTGTTCAGGTCAATTTCAGTTTCTGTCAGTTTAGGTAGGTATTTGTCCACTTCCTCTAGGTTTCCATATTTGTTTGAGTATAGTTTTTCCATAATATTCCAATGTTAGCCTTTTTATTTTAGTTGGTTCTATTGTGACATTGCCTGTTTCATCTCTTACTCGGATTATTTGTGTCTTTTCCTTCTTTTGTTCGTTTTGCTAGTGGTTTGTCAGGTTGTTTTTTTTTGCATAAACATTTTTTAAAATTTATTATTAATTTCAATGAAAATTTACAGAGACTTTGGATTTCCATTCATTCATTGTTGCACTTTTCTCCCCTCCCAACCTTCCCCTCTAGCACACTACCCTCTT